GTCTCGTGCGTCTCGCACGGGGGGTTGCTGCACACTTGCCCGGCGCCCATGCTGGATGTGGCAGTGGTCGCCGTGTTAGTTGTGCCCGTCTCACACAGGAGATTGCTGCATGCTCGCCCAGTGCCCATGTTCGACATGGCTGTGGTAGTGGTGCCTGTCTTGTGGGTCTCGCACGGGGGCTCTGTGCACGGTTGCCTGGTGCCCATGCTCGACGTGGCTGTGGTGGTGGTGCCCATCTCGTGTGTCTCGCACGAGGGGTTGCTGCATGCTCGCCCGGCGTCCATGTTCGACGTGGCTGTGGTGGTGGTGCCTGTCTCGTGGGTCTCGCAAGGGGGGTTGCTGCACACTCGCCCGGCGCCAATGTTCGACGTGACTGTGGTGGTGGTGCCTGTCTCGTGGGTCTCGCATGGGGGCTCCGTGCACGCTCGCCTGGTGCCCAAGCTCGACGTGGCCGTGGTGCCCGTTTCACAAGAGTCATTGACATGCGCTCGCTGACCGGCCTCCGTGTCCGGCGCAACCATCCTCACGCTGCATGGCTGCTCTGTGGGCACGTCCGCTTTGGCCGACATGGTTGTGTGAGTGGCACAAGTCTGTTGGGTTTGGCACGGGGGGCCCTCGGCTGCCCCCGGCCCACCATCCGGCTGCCCCCGGCCCATGAGCGACCGGGCCGTGGTGGCGGTGTTGGTGGTGTGGGTCTGGTGAGCCTCACAGGGCCGGCCAGCCGGCGCCGGGGATTGTGCGTTGGTGCCAGGCACCGCCGGGGGTGGATTTGCCATCCTGGTGCTGCACGGCTGCTCTGTGGGCACACCGGCTTTTGCCGACATCGTGGTGCCGGTGGCACTGGTGTGCTGCGTTTGGCACGGCGGGTTGGGCGGGGCTACCAGGCTGCCATCCGCTTGCCCCCGCCCCATGAACGACCGGGCCGTGGTAGCTGTGTTGGTGGTGCCCGTCTCGTGCGTCTCACACAGGGGATTGCTGCACGCTCGTTCGGCACCCATGCTGGACGTGGCCGTGGTGGCTGTGTTGGTGGTGCCCGTCTCGTGCGTCTCGCATGGGGGGTTGGTGCACACTCGTCCAGCACCCATGCTGGACGTGGCCGTGGTGGCCGTGTGGGTGGTGCCCGTCTCGTGTGTCTCGCATGGGGGGTTGCTGCACACTCGTCCGGCGCCCATGCTGGATGTGGCAGTGGTGGCCGTGTGGGTGGTGCCCGTCTCGTGCGTCTCACACGGGGGGTTGGAACAGACGCGCACTAACCCGCCGTTGGGCTGCCCGGTCTCCTGGCCCTCGCACACAAAGTGCACAGGCTGGGTCAGGCCGCCCACGTTGGCCACGACGGTGGCGGTGGCAGTGTTGGTGGTGCCGGTCTCATGGGTCTCGCAGGGCGGGTTGGAGCACACCAGGGTGACGGTGCCGGGCTGCGGGTCGCCCTGCCCCACGTCGGCGATGGTCACCGTGGCCGTGGGCTGCTCCGTGGTGGGCGAGGCCAGGATGGAGACTGGCAGGTCATGCACCGGCTGAGCATCCACCCCGCTGGGCGTCGTGATCAGCGTCACCTGCGTGGGCTGGGAGACGGGCTGGGGGCCGGGAGACAGGCAGGGTGAGGGGCTGGGCCCGTGCCCCACGGACGTCGTGTCCCCCTGCCCCCCTTCCCTCGTCCCACTGCCCCCTGTACCCCACTGCCCCCTTCCCCACGTCCCACTATCCCACCGCCCACTGTTCCACTGCCCCCTGTACCCCCGTCCCACTGCCCCCCTGTACCTCCCTGCCCCGTGTCCCACTGCCCCTCTGTGCTCAGCACCCACCCCTGTACCCCACTGCCACCCCTGTACCCCCCCCACAAAGGCGAAAGGCCCCACCTGCATGGTGATGGTGGGTGTGCCCAGCCCGCTGGCGGCTGTCATGGTGGTCTGCGCGGCGGAGACGGTGATGGCGGCCGGGTTGATCACCTGGCTCGACAGGGTGGCGATGGTTCCCAGCGTGGTGATGGGCGTGGCCAGGGAGGCATTGGTGCTGTGGCCCCCTGCGCCGGCCAGGCTGGTGGAGACGGTGCCCGTCACGGTGCCCAAGGTGGTGACACCTGGGGGGGAGGGAGAGCCAGTCAGTGCCCTGAGCTGGCTTTGCAGCCCAGCCCCCTCCCGCAGCCCCCCGCCCAGCCCCCTTACCCGTGGTTCCTTTCACCACCAGCGTGGTGACGGTGGGCTTGACGGCGGAGACGGTGACGGGCGTGACCAGCCGCACGCCGCCCATGGGCACGGTGCGCAGGATGGTGCCGGGCTGGCCAGGCGCGCCCTTCAGGACCACCTGCCGGGAGGGGAGAGAGAGGTGGTGAGGCCGGGGCAGGGGGCGGCCCCCTGGCCATCCCGGCGCCCCCAAACCCCCCGCTCACCTGCGTGACGCCCTGCTGCCCGTGGGCCGTTCCCAGCTTGGGCACTGCCGTGATGATCTTGGCGGGGGCGCCCGTGCCTGAGGTCATGACCTTGGTGGTGATGATGGTGATGGGGGACTTGATCCCAGGGCTGCTGGTCACACCTGGGGGGAGCCGGGGGGGGTCAGTGCAGAGTTCCGGGGCAGCCCCATGGCCATGGAGCCCCCCCAGCCCCGCTCCCCCGCAAGGGCCCCCCCCGCCCCCCCCCCCCCCCACCCCCCCTTTCCCCCCCCCCACTCCACCCCCCCCCCCCCCGCGCAGGCAGCCCCCAACCCTTCCCACCCCGGGCAACCCCCCACCCCCACCAGGCGGTCCCCAGCCCCCGCGGCGGGCCGTTACCCGTGGCCCCGGACTGGGTGATGATGGCCGACATGGGGATGGTTTTGATGATGGTGGTGGTGCCCGGCTTGGTGGTGCTGGGCGAGACGCTGCTGATGCCCAGGATGGTGGGCTTGGGGCCGGCGCCACCCGCCTGCGTGGTGGTGATGATGGTGGTGGGCTTCCCGTCCGCTGACGTCACCAGCTTCAGGATGGTGCCCGCCGGCAGGGGGCCCTTGGTCTAGGGGAGCACGGGGCAAGCAAGAAAGGGTTAATGCAGCTTGGCACCCCCAGAGAGCAGAGCGCTCCGGACTCCTGGGTTCTACTGAGAAGGGGTGAGGAGGGGTCTGGGAGCCAGGACTCCTGGGTTCTCTCCCCAGCTCTGGGAGGGCAGTGGGGGCTGGTGCTTAGAGCAGCGGGGGGCCGGGAGCCAGGACTCCTGGGTTCTCCCCCCGGCTCTGGGAGGGGCGTGGGGTCCAGTGGTCAGAGCAGGGGGCTGGGAGCCCGGACTCCTGGGTCCCGTTCCCAGCGCTGCCCCCCAGTCCGAGGAAGTGCTCACCTGGATGATCTGGGTGACGGGGCCGCTGGACGCCTGGCCGGTCACGGCCGAGGTCTGCACCGGCTTGGTCTGCACGACCGACATCACTTTGCCGAGGTTAGAGATCTGCCAGGGGAGAGAGAGTGAGCAGTGCCCCCCCACACCCCGCCCCA